AACTTTTAATCTGGATTATCTTTATGGTAGGACTGAATTCGGGTTCAGGTGAACACTTGTGAGAAGAAAATGAAAATGGAAGGGATACTTCTTCCACTTTGCCCAGTGTTTGGTGGAAGACCAACAGTGCAACATGCAGAAAGACTACACTGACAGACCAGAGATTACAACGTTCGTCAGGCGGTGTGCAATAATGCCACTCATTCCTGTTGGCAATGTAAGCAGTAACCAGTCCTTTAGATTAGATTCAATTAACTTGATATACTAAATATACATGTTAATGTGTAATAAATTTAATATGCATGTTAATGTGTAATATATACAATATGCATGTTAATGTGTAATATATTCAATATGCATGTTAATGTGTAATACATTTAATATGCATGTTAATGTGTAATATATTCAATATGCATGTTAATGTGTAATAGATTTAATATTTAATATGCTGTAATATACTGAGTCAAATTAAAAACTTCACATTTTTAAAAGTAATCACATATATGATATACAACGGACAAATGTATCAGAGAAGGTAATTTTTAATCATTAATGTCCAAAGAAGGATTTTTATTAACGGTGGTAACCATAATTTGTTCCAAGCACCTATGGTATTCGGTAATAACATCAACAGTTTAAATCATAAGTCCCAAGCACGAAAATCTGATGGCACACGAGTTCAGTAGCGTGTATGGCCACCATGTGCATTGACAACTGCCACACAACGCCTCCGCATGGACCTTCTGATGCTTGTGAACACATGATCGGGAAGACGATGCCATTGTTGCTGCAAAATGGTGCCAAGATCTTGCAAATTCTGTGGTTGGTTCTGGAGAGTGCGTAAACTTCTGCCAAGAGCATCCCAGACGTGTCCGATGGGATTGAGGTTGGGAGTCCTTGACGGCCAGTCCATGACGTTGACTCCAACATTCGGAAGGAAATTCCTTGTCAAAATTGCTGTGTGGGGTCTGGCATTGTCGTGTTGGAAGATCAAACCGGGTCCATGTGCTGCCATAAAAGGCAGAAGTTCTGGTGCCAGTACATGGTCGTGGTAAGCAACAGCGTTGAGGTTGCCACGGATGACAGGAAGCCTGGAACGTGCATTGCCACAGAAAGCACCCCACACCATGACACTTCCGCCTCGAAATCTGTCAACTTTCTGTACACAACACTGGGCGTAACGTTCATGATGGCACCTCCACACCCTCGCCCTACCATCAGCAAATTGAAGATTAAATCGGGATTCATCACTGAATACGACTTGATTCCAATTCCTCTGAGTCCATTGTAAGTGTCGCTGTGCCAACAATTGACGTTGACGTCTGTGTAATTGAGTCAGAATCGGCCCGCAGTATGGCCGTCGTGCTTGAAGGTGAGCAGTTCTCAGACGGTTTCGAACAAGTTGCGCACTCAGTCTACCCCTAAACAGTTCATTTCTGGTTGATGTAGCCTCAAAAATCGGTTACGGAGGTGACGTAAGACAATCTGAAGATCCTCTGCATGTGATGTCACACGTGGTCGACATGGCCGAGGGCGATCAGCGGTGGTAACCGTTTGCTGTAGACGCGTCTGTAAATCATAAACAGTCCGTCGACTACAACCCATCGTCCTTGCGACTTCAGCTACGGAAGTTCCCGTCTGCAACATGCCGATGGCACGTTCACGTTGCACATTTGAAAGGCATGGCATGACAAATGGCCGTAAAGACTTTTGTTTTCTTGTGTTTTTCTTTTTTTGTTAATGACTGCTAACAAGTATGGCTGAAAACACGTGCGGTATTATGGCCATGTGACCAGTTGCTACGTGAAAAAACACTTTTGCCACTAGTGCTGTGCACATGATTTTGATCGATTCACCTGCACAAAAACAGGTGTTATCTGAAGATGTGGCCATTACTGTTTAAATACACAATAAGGGCCCACAATGATAACTGGTCAAAATGTAAAACATTTAGGATTGTGAAGTTTTTAATTTGGTTCAGTATATATTCAATTTGCATGTTAATGTGTAATAAATTTAATATGCATGTTAATGTGTAATATATTCAATATGCATGTTAATGTGTAATAAATTTAATATGCATGTTAATGTGTAATATATTCAGTATGCATGTTAATGTGTAATAAATTCAATATGCATGTTAATGTGTAATAAATTCAATATGCAGGTTAATGTGTAATATATTCAATATGCATTTTAATGTGTAATATATTCAATATGCATGTTAATGTGTAATATGTTCAATATGCGTGTTAATGTGTAATATATTCAATATGCAGGTTAATGTGTAATATATTCAATATGCATGTTAATGTGTAATAAATTTAATATGCATGTTAATGTGTAATATATTCAGTATGCATGTTAATGTGTAATAAATTCAATATGCATGTTAATGTGTAATAAATTCAATATGCAGGTTAATGTGTAATATATTCAATATGCATTTTAATGTGTAATATATTCAATATGCATGTTAATGTGTAATATGTTCAATATGCATGTTAATGTGTAATATGTTCAATATGCAGGTTAATGTGTAATATATTCAATATGCAGGTTAATGTGTAATATATTCAATATGCATGTTAATGTGTTAAACTGCCAGGATTACTTATATGCATTTTTATTTTTAGGTTGAAGACTACTTCCTTGAGCTAATGGAGCGCATTCCAGACGATCAAGATGTCAAAGACTTGCAGACTACATGACCAGCCAGTGGATCGAGGGCGATCTCCACATCCACCAGTGGAACCACTTCAACAATGATGGGCCATGTACAAACAACCACCTAGAGGGATGGCACAGTTGACTAAAGAAGATCGTGGGAAAGGCACATCCCAACATTTTCGAGATGATTACCATCCTTTCCAAAGAGCAGAAGTCATCAGAAATTCACAGAGTGCAGTACGAAGCAGGACAGAAAAGACCTCCCAAGAAGAAGAAATACTCAGAAGTCGACCGCAAGATCGCCAATTTGAAGATGAGGCTGGAGAGGCAAGAAATCGACATCATCCACACTGCCGATGTTGCATCAGCCATTCTAATCAAGTTAAAAAAATAATATTATGATTCATGTAAATCATGTTCTGTTCGTTGTACCAAATTTAAATGTATCAACCGTTGCCTGATAATGTTGCTGTTTTTGATACAATATTATGTGTTGAATATAATGTGTGGAATAAACTTCACAAAAATGTATCATAAATCTGTTATATGTTTCTACTGTTAGAATGTGTTCTGAACACCATCCAAAAACACCATTCATTGTGTGCTTGTAACAACCTTGTGTGTTAACATAACACGCACATATCATCAAAGAAAAAATGCTGACCAGCGTAACGCAAATACTTTTTTTCGGAAAGTCGGCGTTACGAGAATGAACCATTTACTGGGTGCTTGGAAAGAGATTATGGTATCACAATAGACAAGCTTGTATGGGGCTAATCCTTAAAGGGCAAGTTCACACGGAAATTAACCTATTTTTCTTGTACTTTTTCCACATTAAAAGTGTTAACCTAGAAGTGTCATAGACAAAAATATAAAAATATCACAATTAATTAACATATTTTTCGCATTAAACGATTTATATTTTTCACATTTACCAAGTGTTCTATTTCCACAACAAAAACACCATGGCTTATGCCTCTTGCAATATGACGTCATTGGTGCCAATTGATAAACATTATGACGTCATCATGCTTTGTTAGAGCCGCTTCACGTGGTGTAGGTCTAGGTGTGTGATTCTAGCGTCTCAGATGCCAGCCAGCATAGTGTTATGCTGAGTCACTACTGCGCCGGAGTGTGTCGTAGGCCATGTTGTTTTACCGCAAACTGGTACTTGATATCTTTTGCGTTGAGAATAGACAGGGACCCAGTTGAATTGGCACCAATTACGTCATAATCTAAGGGGGATAACTCAGGCCTGTTTAGCTCGAAAAACGAAGGCCTCATAACGGCATATCATTTTCACACTATTGTGAGCTTCCTACTTTCACTGTGAAAAAAATGAGTGTATATTTTCAAACACAGATACTAATTAATTCTAAAATTGCGTTTTGTTTAGAAAAAGAAAGAAAGTGATTTTTGCGTGTACACTTCCCCTTTAATGAGTCTAATTGAAGTACTTGTTGAATGTTATTCTAAAATAGGTGATGACATGACAGATTTACTTTAATAAAATAGTTCAAGGCAATCTACAAAACTATGCAGACATAACTTTTGTCTTATTGGAATAGTATGTCTGGGAGATGGGATCATGTTACCTTAGGTTAGCATCTATCTAAAAAGCTATAACTGAAACTACTAATATTTGGTATCTGCATTTTTCCTGGATCCTAATATGTATCCTGGATCCTTCTATGATCATATGAAATTTTGTATAAATGTTACACCATGATAACAATTAAAAGTACTTGCTGTGGATCTAATTACTTTTTAAAAACTTAGTATAAATGTTATATGATGATAGTATTACAGATATTATCATGCTTGGTACTAAATCTATTATTTTAGCGGTTATAACAATAATGCTAATTTATGGGCATTATCATTTGTGGAAGCCCTTTGGCTATTTCACTCCTTTGTCAGTTGGCAGTTAATGGCAGACTTTGGGCAAATAATAATACCCTAAAAATGGTATTACCCTTATATTGTAATAAGGCAACATGACTTCAGAACAAGAACAATGTCAGATTTTGCTGTATTTGAACATGCTGAACATATACTCTCAGTGGACATTGGCGTGGTGTGGCTTGCGTCCGTGCATGGCGGTGTAAAAATAAATCTAAATTTTCCCTTAGCTTTTACAGCAACCCAAAAAATGTTGTGATTTGGCAGAGAAAAATATGATGCTTATGAAGCAGTGAAATATATCCTGTCTCTAACAAAACTCCCAGGATCCCCCTGAATATTACATGGTCAGTCTCTAACATCTTATTGAGTTTCAAGTATTCATCATATCATTTGTTCTGGTAACTGTTTTTCTTGTTTGTTTACAGATGCATGATTTATTTGGAATAATTGCTCATAAAATGCCGCTTCAACTTGTTGATCCTGTGGAGAAGATGATAAACAGGGATGTAAGATACAGGCCTACTGCACATGTCTTTTCTACAGTGAGTATATATGAGGTATGACTATGTGTATGCAATCTTTACACAGAGGATAAGAGATGGCCCTGTGGCCTGCTCCAGCTGCTGCACATCCAGAATCCCTTGACAGTGAGGGGCCACTGATTAACAGTTGGAATCACACATTCATCCCAGTAGATGATGCTTAGTCACTATCACACCTAGGCAGCTGGGTTTCAGTGACAACTGCCTGCAGCCTGGTAAATTTTAAGCATTCCCCCAGGGAAAGCTGACACACTCTGAAATTGCAAAGTCATTTTAGCCAAACTGTGCAACAGTTTGTCTCCTGTATGCTTAAATGATGTGCCTGTGCCTTACACTTCACAGTCACCATTCCATACTGCATTAAAGCTCCCTCAGATTCACTCATTTAGCTTCTGGACCCTAATAGAGACCTTCAGGAAGTAGACATCTGTCATTATTCATGGGTTACACTGCTGCAGGACCATATCGTCGTACGAAGACCAGATACAGATACAATCATAATGAAATGTGGATCTGTAGCAATACAGCTATAAGTAGGTAAATACATTCTGAATTCCAACAATGTCCATAACTTTCAATTTTTTGATAATATCATCCTTCTCTTAAATTTCTTTGGCAAATGCTAATCTCTAGCTATTTCTCATCATGTCTAGTAATAGGATATCAAATGGAAATGGTGAAACAACAGTCAGTAATGAAATTCTATGGCAAAGAGCCCACAGACACATCTTGGCTGCAGTTATATCTATGGTTCGAAATCAACCCCTGTTTTAATGTCAGGTTCAGCTGTAAACTCTTTTGGTGAATTGAGTGGGTCTCAAAACAGGCAGAATGTAATGGCTACCATTGGTTCATGTGATGTACAGATTTCTGCACTCTGCACCAGCAACTCAGGCTGGGACAGGTAACTCGGGTACTCGGGTTGGGTGGGTACTAGGTAGGACTCGCCCCAGCCCTACCAGGAACACAAATGAGGGTCCTGACTTTTGGCTCAGTCACTGAAGAAAACAACATGCAACTAGCGGACAAGCATCCAAGTCAAATATGAAATGTGAAATCCTCTCTATGCAAATGTGGTCAGTTTCCCAGGAGGCACATGACATTGTGACATTTTAATGTTTTGTCCAAAGGATAATGATTTAAGCATTTCCTTCATATTCTATATTTAAATACATACACCGTTTCAAGATGCTAATCAATATATCTATATATATTTATCTATATTGAATACTTTTCTTAACCACAGGAGTTAATATTGATTTTGAATAAATTCTTTTACATAACAAGACATCTTGCATTTACCCTGAACATTAGCGGTGCATATTTGGGCATTGTGATTTTCGGATAATTCCACCTTGGAACGTCCGAGTGATGACGAATGAAAAAGACATGCGCACTGTGTGAGCACGCTATTCTCTTTCCAAACAAAGGATACGTGAGGAAAAGGAGAATCAGATCAAGTGACAGTAAGTAATATTAGATAAATTTGTTTTGTAACAAGATGCCTATACCGTTTAGATTGAATGCATTACAACTTGATGGTTTATTTAGCGTAGTTTGCATAAGGGTCATTGTCAAAATATGTAGCCTGTTTATGTCAGTAATCTCTATCTTTCATAAAATTTTAGATAGCCCTTAACATTTATCCCCAAAATTTCAGTGGAGAACCAAATTAAAATATATCATCAAACATTTGCCTTGTCAGTGGTTTATTTGCTTGTGGTGGAGTGATATATAGTCACAATTTTTTTAGTCTATTGAACAAAAAGTTATTCAAACTGGAAAAAGGTAACACCAAGAATAACCAAATGAAAGTTCCATGTTTTTGGTGTAACAAAACATCCTTACATGCATACTGGAAGAATTAAATGCATTTGTTATGAATGTTGTCGGCTACTGTATGTTGAATGTTGAATGAAACTTTGTATTTAATAATAAGTGCATTTATATGCGCCAGATTCCATTCACCAAGTGGGTGCTCTTAACCATACACTATTATTACAACCCAAGCTGCCTGTGAGGCCCTAGAAGAGTAACAGCCACATTACCATCTCATCCTACCGGGTACCCACTCAAAGCTGGGTGAACAGAGACACATTTCGAACAAAGTCACTAGTAGTATAGGTAATGATGGTTCTGGACCACTTCCACTGGAGCCAGATTTATATACCTGTAGTAGTGGTATAAGGAAACACATGTGGTACATGTGCTTTAGTGTGGGGCAGGACCGAAGCCCTAGAAACTCTCAGGAGGGGCTTAACATGGTCACCCATCCAACTACTCTCTGAGACTGACTTTGCTTAACTTCACCTGATTTATGATCTGTGCGCTGTGCTTGGTGTTACCTGAATCAGTACAAAATGTCAGCAATTATTTACTTTGAATGGGCAATGGCTAAACATGTCTTGTGCCATTGGAATTACAATGCTTTAATCATAACACTTAAATTTGAATTGTTACTACAACATTCTAACATAGGGTTAGATGAAGCTAAATGTCTTAATGTGTTCTTGGTGTTTCCGCAAGTCAGCAAGTAAAAACTTTGAAGTTTATGTTGATGGGTAAAACATGTCTTATGCCAGTGTAATTACAACTCTTGATTAACACTTAATTTATAATCACTAAATGTCTTTGGTGTTACTTAATAGGTCCTCAGTGTTACCACAAAACAGCAGTAGTAACTTCAAAGAAAACGTTGTGAAACCAAATGTCTGATGCCATTGCATATATGCAACACCAACTATAGTGCATCATTTCCTACTGACAGATTATTGTGAAGTAATAGAAAAGTTGCTGTGAGTTATGGTAATGTCCTTGGATGTTACGCATCGTCTTTGGTGTAACTGTTTTGTCTTTGGTGTTACCAGAGGAAATTCTGAAAATGATTCATGTAAACACACATTGCATGGCATGATTTTCAACAAGTACAAAGAGCATGTTCAATAAATAAAGAATATAGAAATTATATCGATCATTTTGGTAGTGTGTGGGACACAGGGAAGAGAAAATTATCCATTCAAATCAGATTCCAGCTTAGTGCGATATGGGACTCAGTGTCCTTGACTGTCGTCCTGCATTCAGTTATGTTTTGCTGTATTGCCATGATAAATGTTGATAATAATTATATTCTTTAACTTCGGTTAAGTAATCATCATGGTTATCTTTATGTGTTGATAGTTTTTTTTTGTTTCTCTCTTCAGTTAGTCGACAGGCAGGATGAGGAGAGCAGATGTTTGATGAATCATGGAAGATAATGTAGCCTTTATGCTGTATACTTCATGTTGTGGCAAGATGATGTGCTCAGTTCTTACATTCGATACTTGACATCTGGAGACTGCGCCAAAGACTACAGGCTTTGAGGATGGTGCTCACAGATGTTTTCCTTAATATGACTGTGACATGGATTGCACTTAATTAATTGAGGGACACTTTGGCTTGGAGTTTTACATTGCATTTTTTCATCTTATAGTGCTACTCAAAGGTTGTAATTTCTTTTCAAGCAGTATTAAAAAATATTGTCATTTGTTCAGACAATCGTTTCTGTTGTATTTTGATATCTGATGTTGATTCAACGTCAACATTTCAACCTTCAAATCCAACCAAAAATCAGTGTCATTTCAATGTTTAAGCACAACATAGTTTCATCTTAGATATCTGATACTGATTCAACGTCGACATTTCAACATCATTACAATTTTCAAATCCAAACAAAATTCCATGTCAATTCAACGTTGAAGCATGACATCGTTGTGCCGGCTTGGTTTGTCTGGAGGGAAACGTGTACATTTGGTCCTGCTTTGGTTTCATTACCCCTATTCATGGATATGATAAAGAGTAAAGTCTTACTTTCGTTAAGCAGCTTTCAGAGACCCTTTATGCTAGTCTTTTATGATAAAACTTTTATGACTCATCTCACGTTTACAATACCAATATTCCCTGACGGATCAGTTGACAGCAATTTTGTCTTACGGACATTCTATCATACAGGTCAGAATATGTTACCACAGTTTCACTTAGAAAGCAAAAATTGCAGCAGACGATGCAAATGAACTAAGTTATGTCCCTCTACCCAATGCATTTCGATTAAACATTGCTTCTTTTCAGAAACTCATCGATACTTATCTAAGATAAGCATGTTACTTGAGATGTGTTTTGAATGTGAGATGTGTCAACTTGAAATTTGTACCCCGCCTGTGAGCGTGCGACATGAAAAATAATTGTCCACTCCTTAAACAATCTGACTAGTATGTTAAGTTAAGGTAAGGTAAATAATATACTCTTCAAAAAAAGAAACTTGACATAGATGTAAAACCACTTTTTGCCAAATATCTAAAATAATTACATTAAATGAAAACCAAATAAGTCAAACAGAAAGATGTTGTGTCTATAATTTGCGAAAACACATGCAAAGCACATAAATGTAGCGTTTGGGGATCAATTTTACAGCTTCATCCAAACGCAACCGCCTGTAAAAAATGTGCAGCACAGGATCCTGCATTTAGGCATGCAGGCTCCCCTGCTAAATGGGTATAAAAATCCACATCAACGGCTGTTCATACAGTCTTATAACGGCAGTAGAGGCGGTGACAGAATGCCAAGACTGAATCCAGCTCAACGGAACAACGCCATTGGGAGATTACAAGCTGGAGCAACTCGCAAGAAGTGGCCAGGCACTTTGGCGTATCCAGATAGACAATCTCCACACTGTGGACCCGATACAACAACACCAACAAGAGTTGACGACAGACCAAGGTCAGGAAGACCAAGGGTTTCAACCCAAGCACAAGATTGATACATCCGGCTGCGACACCTCCGAGACCGCACTACAACAGCCACGTCTACAACCACACAGATCCCTGGGCTACGCAGAATATCAGATCAAACAGTACGCAACAGACTGAGGGAGGCTGGACTTTTTGCACGAAGACCTGTTCGACGTCATTTATTGACCCCACGTCATCTGGCGGACCGTCTGCTTTGGTGCCAACAGAGGGTTAGAT